GTGATCCTCCCACCTCAGCCTCCTGAGTAGTTGGGACTACAACCATGTGCCACCACCACATTTGGTTATAACTTTTTTTTTGTAGGGACGGAGTCTTGCTATGTTACCCAACATAGCAATCCACCCACTCCCAAAGTGCTGGGATTATAGGTATGAGCTACCATCCCAGACCACTGTAATTTTTAAATAGCTAACTTAATTTAGTGCAATATGCCAGGCTTGGGACCAAGCACTTTCCTACACTACCTCATTTAATCCTAACAAAAATCCTAGAAGTGAGTGTTTTCATTGGCCTCAGGTTGGGCAAGAGGAGACTGGGGCTTAGAGGAGGATGTGCTTGCCTAAGGGACACACTGGGTAAGGGATGGAACCAAGATCTGAATGCCATCTACTTCTGTCTCCTTCTCTCTGGACCTCAATTTCCTTTTCTGTCAGGTAAAGGGGTAGGATTACGTGATCCCTAAGTTCCCTTTCAGCTACAGAAAAGCTATGTATTTCCACAAACATGCCCCACGTCCAAGTCTCTGGCCACACTTGCATTGCAGGCCTGGTCCTAAAGATTTCCCTGCCCCTCACCCAGAATGGAGAGACAGCATCTGCTGACTGCAGAGGCCATCTGTCCACCAGGCCCAGCCCCCATGGTAATGAGGGACGCCGCTTCCTGGCCCACCCAGTCCTGTTCACCCCACTTTGATGTCTGCCCGCTTCCCTCTCAATCCACTCAGGTCCACACCCCTGCAACTCCGTGCCACCCTTCCAGGATCTGCTCCTCTCAGCATCCTCTCCTTGACGGAAAGATCTCTCCTTTCTTCGCTGCCCTGTTCCACCTTCTCTTGACTCCCCAGGTAGGACCAGCTAGGATTCAGTATTCACAGAGTCACGGAGCCTGGGGACAGGAGGGACAGTCATTGTCACACCTCAACCCCTGCATCCCCTCGAGATGATATCCTGACTCCGATGAACACCCTCTGCAGACAGAGGATGACTGACAGTGTCAACCCTGGTCCAGTCCCCAGCATGCAGTGGGCACTTTGCCTATGTCCATCCTCACTGAATGCTCTTAGTAGGAACGCTCACAAACTCACATCTCACAAACGTAGGCACCACAGTTCCAAAGGGCCACAGTGAGGCCCAAAATTACACACCCTTCAACGACCAAGCCAGGATTCGAACCCAGAACTGTCTGGCTCAAGGGCCACATTTTTGTGTGCACCAAGTACCTCCCTAAACACTGTTTCAGGTTTCCAAGGGCAGTTTGAATTTCTCGAAACAGGAGACACCTCACTTCTTCTCCATGAAATCTCTCTTCCCAAGGGAGGGCGGGACATGTGGATGTGTTCAACACCCCTGTCACAGTGGCTCAGGGCCTGGCCACACTGCTCTTCTCCTGGCCCTGGACTCAGGACCAGCTGGCCCATCCCTGAGCCCAGGGCCCGTTGGGTGGGACTGGGCAGAGAAGAGGAGAGAAGTCGCCCTTCCCCAGGCTTCTGGCCGTCAGTCAGAATCCCAGCAGCTTTCTTTGCAATAGAATCCCAGTAGGACTTCCACGAACCCCAACAGAGAGAGAAGACAAGAGATGACAAAGAGCACACATTCCAGGAGGCCTATATACCAGGGCCCCAAGTTCTCAGACAGGAGATGGTATAAGGATAGTCACAAATGGGCCCCAGAGATACAACGGCATCCTTCTCCAGTACCCCTGCTGGGGTAGTGCAGCCCAGAGGAGGCCAAGACGCCATACCCCCTACCCACAGCCTTTCCAAGCAAAGATGGTAGAGAGGGCAGCATAGAGCCAAATCAGGTGTGCGGGAGTGGAACGGGGCTTCCCACAGGATTTCATATGGTCCTACAGGGTAGCAGCCTTAGAATTCCAAAGCACTAAAGCAGGATCTTGGGTCACCCATTCCAAGAATTCTGAGCTGGTGTACCACACGCAGGATGGGATACATGCGCCCAGATACCAACCCGTCAGCCCACAGGGTAGCCAGGCAGAGGGCCCGCAGTGGCCTAAGCGCCAAGTGGGCCTGCCCACCCACCACATCACCCTACCCTGTGCCTTGGTGAGACAAAGGTTGAGAAGCACTTCTACAGACTCTCATCTTTGTTCTTCACAAAAGAAAAGTGAGGTCTGAAGCCTGGAAGGGACCTGCCCAAGGCACCACAGGTGATTTGTGGCAGGTGATTGGCAGCAGGCGATTTGTACACCAGAATCAGTCCCCTGGCTCGTGCCCCTGCCTTCTTCTCGCTGCTCTCCCCACCACGGCCCACTTGGTTTTCTCATGGCAGGGCCAGGACCTCCCCATCCTGCTACGTGCCTGCGTCTGCCTAGACAGAGCTGCCCACCCAACTCTAGGGCTGTTCTAGGTGGAGCAGAGTCAACAGGTGCAATGCAGAAGGACCGTCACGGTGCCCAGAGCCCAGCCCTCGTGATGGGGAGTGGGCCCCAGAGCACAGAAACCAGGAGCTGTGCGAGCCCCGTTATCTCCGGGTGTCAGGTAGAAGGGAGCTGATGCAGTGAGCTGCAGACCTAGTAATTTTCTCATTTGTCTTGTCAACATCCTGTCCCGCAGAGTGTCAAGTCCATTACGTAAAGATTTTCTGCTAGGAAGGTACTTAAGTGTGAGTCCCAGAAGCAGCAGGGGCCTGGACTAGGGTGAGGACCTCTGCGCTTCAACATGCAGGAGCAAGCCGATGTTATTTATTACCAGAGGGAAGCCCAGTGGCACCTGTCCATGCAGCAGTACTCAGTCAGCACTTACACTATGGGTGGAGTGGGACATGCATTCATTGGGGGCCACTGGGACACCCCTGCCCACCAGAGCATCCACAGGCCAATGATGGCCTCACCTGCTTCTGAGCCACAGAGGTCTTACTCAAAAGGAAAAGTTCAAGGTGGATTTCTATGCAAAACTCATCAGGAAATGTGAGAAGCAGGTGTTTCTGCAAGAAGGAACCTCAGTCGGCTCCAGCCAGTCCAGCCCTGTCGATAGGCAAGACTTACTACCATGGAGTTACCACAGTGCCCACAGACAGGACCAAGAGAGGAGCCTGCTCTGAGCCCAACGACTCTGCAGTGGTCCAACCGGGAGGGATATGATGGTGAGAGCCCAGGGCAGGGTACCTAAGATCATTGGCCATATCTGAGGTCTCCAATCCACTCACCACCTTCCCAACCACCACCAGCACCCACTGCCATCCCCAGATGGCCACCCTCTGGCCAATGTCTCCCTTCTCATGGGCATCCAGGATTGCTCCCACCAGAGACGTGGGTGTCATCCCCATTTCAATCCCAAGAGCATTCATTCTCAACGGGAGGAAGAGTGTCACCTCAAGGGAGCAAAACAAGTACATATTACAATGGTTTGTGGCCTCCAAAACCCAACCCTTTGTGAACAAAACTTACTCCTTAGTATCTAATTTCTCTAGTCAGGGAGAAATTTTCTCTCTAGGAAAACAATAATGAAAAAAAAACAGTTGAGAAATAAGGCTCTAGAGAATTCTTCATTCGAAAGGGCTTAGGGTTTCACTGGAAACACTTTAGAGCAGTGGTTCTCAGCTGACAGTTGACTGTGCCCCCAGAAGACCTGTGGCACTGTCTGGAGACGTCTTTGGTTGTCACCCCTTCCAAGCATGCTCCTGGTATCTAGTGGGTAGAGGCCAGGGACGCTGCTAACCATCCCACAAGAAAGAGTTGCCCAGGGCAACCCCTTCAGGTCTCCTCCCACTGTGGGAGCTTTTCTGTCCTCTCAATAAATCCTGCATTCTAAAAGAAAAAAAGAAAGAGTTGCCCAGGCCAAGATGGCAATTGTGCTGATGCTGTATGATGTGGAGTGTGGAAGGCCCTACAGGTGATCTGTGGCAGAGACCACTCCGGCATCCAGCTCCCTGGCTCCCGTTTCAGTCTTCTTTCTGCTGTACTCCCGACTAGGCTGCCTTGGTTTCTTGGTGACAGGGCCAGGGCCTCCCCACCCTGCTATGTGCATAAGTGTCCCCAGACAGAGCCACCCACCCACCCAACTTAAGGCTGCTCTAAACCCAAGCTTAGAGCAATAGAAACATCACAAGATTTCAAAGACCGCCACAAAGCTGCCGGTGAGCCTGGGACCTGGAAACCAGATCCCAGTGCTGAGAGGTCCCCGAGAACAAGCCCCACTGGCCACTCCTGAGCAACCAATGGTTGCTCCTAGACAAGCTCACTCCCACCCACGGAGCAGCTCCAAGACCGGAGGCAGTTCCTAGACCGGCAAGTGACCTGGGTCCAGGGCCTCCCAGATGCCAGAGGGAGCAGGGCCAAGAAGAAAGAACCACCAAAGCTCGTGTGGCTTCCACACATGGACCCTGGCACACAAAGCTAGAGCCCAACATGGTTTTTCTCATGTCCCAGGGCAGACCGGTGTAGGGAGTGGCCTGGGGGCTGGAGATGACTCCCGCAGACGACCCCCTCAGTGCAGTCCCAGCAGGGCCCTCGGGAAAGAGGGAAAATCCAGAGCAGAACAGATAGTGGTAAGACCAATAACACCAACAACCACAGCTAGGGCTGACTGAGCGCTGACATCACTAGTGCCGATGTGCGATGCTGGCTGAGCGCTTTCCAATCCCTCAACTCATTTAGACCCCACAACAATTAACTCTCCCCAACTGAGGAAACTGAGGCACAGAGCAGTCAGGCAACTTGACAAAGCAGAAGAGAGCCAGATAACTACGGTGAAGGGAAAAGAGCAAGACAGGAGGGTGACATCAGGTTTCAGATTCAAGACCTATGGTTACCACCAAGCTGGGCAGGTTCCATCAATGTTTTGCTCCCTACAAGCTCCTAGGGAGGTGAGCATTGTGGTCTCCTTCCTTTCAGAGGAGAAACCGAGGCTCAGAAATGTTAAGGAATGTGTTGACAGGCAGCAGAGCCAACAGATGCCCAAACATCTGAGTCCCAGCCCAGAGCTCCATCCACCATGCCACGGGGACACGGAGAGCTGGCCAAGTCCCAGCGTGAGTCCACTCACCTGAGAAGATTGAAGCGAGCCTGAAGATGTCGGAGAGGCGGGAGGTCACCGGCTCGTAGGGTGAGGCTTCGTAAAACTCCTCACCTGGAAAAGAGAACAGGCATCAGACACAGGCTCCTCCCGTCCAGAGCTTCCCAGCACCTAACAAACCTGCAGGAAGAAAGCTCCCCTGCTAGGGCTTTGCTCCCAAGGGAGCAAGAGATGGGATAGCCCTTCCCAGGGGGGAGTTAGGAATGATGTGTTAACCATGCAGACAGCCATCTCTCTCCAACTAGAGTGGAAGCTCCCCCAGAGAAGGTCAGAACTCCCTGACACTTGTCTCTTGTGACCTCCCTGCACTACCAGCCCTCTCTGAAGAACTTCCAAATGCATCTGGCATGAGGAAACTGGAACAATGATGGTCTGTGGAAGGCCAGGTGAAAATCACAGGATTGGAAGTCAAAGGGTGCTTCGTAATCACTCAATACAACTTCCTCATTTCACAAGAGACAGCTCTGAGGTAGCCCAAAGGGGTGAAGCAACCTGCCTGAGATCACACAGCTACACTTGCAAGGGTCAAAGCTAGACTCCAGTCTCCTGGCCTCACACTGGTATCCCTTCCAGTCACACCATGCCAGCTCTGCCCAGGTCACTAAGGAGAACAAGATTTCCTCTTTGCTTCCCAACTTGTCACCAGGAAAATCTTGCTAGAGAGGCTGAGGGCCCGCGGGGTTGGTGGCCTGACTCACTCTCCTACAGTCATTACCTGTCCTCCCCACCATCTGCCAGCTCCTCAGACCTTTGAGGCTTTGGGATGCATCAGAAGCTCATGAATTTTTTAAAAAGCAAGTGAACGACAAGAGACAGATGCCCCAGGGCTGCCCTGGAAGACCGCGTCACTTCATCGGGAATCCTGCTCCCCTCTGCCAAGGTCTCAGCAGGAAAGGAAATACCCTTCAAGGAGTAACCGAGGGGAGAAATCAATGACTAATTACAGCCTGCATGTGTGGGTCAGGGGCGGGTAACAGGTGATGACCTGCAGCCTTGAACACTGACTTTCCACCTGCCCAGAGCCCGGCACTCAGGGAAGGCACCTCCTGCCTAAAGGGGACAACAGGTGAGCACACATGGGGCTACCTGCAGCAAGTGACCATGCAGCCACAAGAGAGGCCTTGGAACCCTCCCATATGTGGTCATGCAGTCACCCAGAAGTCAGGATGGGAGATTCAACTAGCCCCTGCTGGCTCACCTAATAAGGAGTCTGTCTGCTGTGCCCAGCAGACCCCCGGGGAAGGCAACAGACTCCCAGAGGACAAGGAGGAGGCACCTTTGCCCCATAAGAAAAGGTCTCCACCCTTCACCTTACCTCCTAGGAGTACTTACACCCCACAGCACCCAGCACACACAGCGGGCGCCCAGCTGGTATTTGCCAACTGGCCTAATCCAAACGCCACTCATTCCCCATGACCTGTGTCCGGTTCACCTTCTCCTTGAGGCCTTGGGGTCACCACCAGCCTGAATGATTTCAATGTTCTCCACCCCATCCACTAGCACCTGGACTCTCTGGAGAAACTCTTTAGGGTGGGATTACCAGTCATTGCTATTTGTTGAGGTCAAACGATGTAAGAGCTTAGGAATCACTTTTATAATAAAAAATAATGCTACACTGTGCTATCTATGTGCCAACATTACTGAAAACACTTTAGATATATTAACTCATGGCATCCTCTTAACTATTCCATGAGGTGGGCACTATTACTCTCCCTATTTTACTGATAAGAATCAAGAGGCACAGAAATGTGAAAGCCACACAGCTGGTAAGTGGCAGAGTCAGGTTTCAAACCCAGGCAGTTGGCTCCAGAGCCCGAGGGCTCCACCACTATCAACAGTGTCAAGTGTTATGGAAACCAATTCATTCCTAGGTATGCAGTGTTGTTGTTTCACTTCTGGGATCAGTCTTCTGCTGCTCGCTGGATAATCCCCAGAGCAGGGCTTCGCCTTTCTTCCAGCATTCAGCACAGCTACGCACCTGAGTACAGATCAGCCAGTACTATTGACTAATGGGATCTCGGGGAGGCGTGAGGGGTCAGTTTCTTCTAGGAACGGTTTGGAGGGGTTCATCCCCTTTAAGTCAGCTCATGTACCCTGTTCCCACAGCAGAGTTCACTGGCGGGAAATCCCGAAGCTTAGGCCACTGAAGCCAGATCCGGAATGTCAGATTCTGAGATCGGAAGGGCCAGGGGACCCTGAATTTCAGTGTCACCTTTCGAAAAGAAAAGAAACCTGGTCTCAAATCCCCCATGCAGCCAACAGTGACAGCTCCACTGTGTAAATATTGGTCAGTGGTCAAGTCAGAGGAAAAAAACAGGTCCCAGGCCATAGGATCTTCCCCAAGGCAGTGGAAAGGGTCTGAATAAAGAGCCAGGGGCTCTGAGGTCCATGCCACCTCACCTTTATGCCTCAGTGTCCCTGCCAAATGGAAGTGGACCCAAATGATCTCCAGGTCCTTCGCAGTTCAGACTCGGGGAGTTTAGCAGCCACGTCTTCAGAGACCACGTTTCCACCCCCAGCCCCTTCCTCCCCTGCCACCAGCAGCCCTTTGCACATGCTGAGGGCCACTAGCTACACACTGTGAGCTGAGCCTCAGGGTGAGGGAGAAGGGGGAACAAAGCCCCATGGTGAATCACAACCGCCAGCAGGAGCCAAGGAGAAGCCAAGACTTAGAAGGAGAACCCAAACCTACACACGCCTCTCTTCTCAGCCCTAGGCCCAAGCTGGGTTATTAATGCTATCAAGGGGCAGGAAGGAAGGACCCACAGCCTCCCCCAGGGAGACCGCTCAACCTGCCGTGAATACTTAACTCTCAACTAGTCCCTGACATGCACAGAAACATCACTTATTGTTCAAAGACCTCCTGGCTTTCCCTGCGCAGCCCTGGGCAGAAACTACCAGGCCTAGGAAAAGGTGGAATCCACTGGGGAGAAAAGAAGTAGGTTTTGCAGAAGGAGAAAAGTGGGGTGTGCTATTCTAAGGGGGGCCCAAGGAAAAGGCCTCCTGGCCTGTAGGCTGGCCAGCACAGGGACTGAGACTTCTACAGTGCTGTCACCCTCTGAGGCACATAGTAAGTGTGTAACAAATGTCTGCTGAGTAAATGAATGAACCATCTCAAGGCTCGGAACCAGAGACAGTTGTCCACAGTCAGGCATTCCTAGTTAAGGGGCCATGAAGACCAACCAGCAGCATGTGGCCAAATTCACACCACACCAATGGGTTCATTTGCCCGGGCCCCATCAGCACGATCCTCTTGTGCCCCAATGTCAGAGGGTGTCAAAGGGGCAGGAAGGGCTGGTTATGCTAAAAGACCCAGGTGCCCACCCTGTTCTTCTACTGACAGTTCTCTGTCCCCTCCTCTGCCCACTCTGCAGCCGCAGCAAGCCCACCCCCACCTGCTGCTGAGTCTCCCTTGGGTCGAAACTGAAGGCTGCCAGAAAGAAAACAAGAAACAAAACTCCCCTACTCAGGAATCAGGCCCTTTCGGTCTTTATACACTACGAAGTCAGGCACTGGGTGAAGACAGTCCCTTGTCTCATGTAGAATAAAGTATGCCTGCCTCATGACACCATTTTCCTCTTTGCTTATTCTAGTTCTAGGAATCCAGGTTGCCAGGGAGAAGTGACCACCTGATTCATGGAGAATCATTCTGTTATTAGCACCAGTGGTGATTCGATGTGTTTTTTCTTGAGTTGGAGTCTCACTCCGTCGCTGAGACTGGAGTGCAGTAGAATGCTCACGGCCACCCCAGCATCGACCTGCTGAGCTCAGGCAATCCTTCCACCTCAGCCTTCCAAGTAGCTAGAACTACAGGCACACACTACCACGCATGGCTAATTTTTTTTATTTATTGTAGAGATGAGGTCTTGCCAAGTTACCTAGGCTGTTCTCAGGCAATCCCCTCACCTTGGCCTCCCAAAGTGCTGGGGTTACAGGCTTCAGCCACGCGTCTGGCCTCAGTGAGTTTCTTATTCCTATATTCAGAACACGGTTGAATCACCGCAGTAGCTGGTCCGGGATCCCTCACTGTCCAGTCTCTGCATCGGTAGCTGGGTTCTTCCTTCCCTTCCAGCACCCTGGAGGGAGTGTTCCTCCTCTGCTCTAAGGCTCGCCCCCTCCGCCCCACCAAGTGCCCTGGGCTCACCCGCTCCTGCTCCCAAGGGCATCCTTCCACTCAAGTCCCTTCTCTCTTCACTGCAACGTCTCCATCACAACTGTCCTACCCTAGGAGTTAAACTGCTCAGCCCTCTCCCATCTTTTTTAAAAACAAAACAAGCCATCCTTTGTTCTCCCCTCTTCACAACAAAATACTGGAAAGAGTTGCCCTGTTCATCCTTCCGACTCCCTGGCTCCCATCTGCACCCTAACCAGGCTCCTGCCCCCAGCGGCCACCTAAGAAGCTCACCCCAAGGTCAGCAGGGACACCTCAGTCCTTCTCCCGCTTGACCTGAGGTACGTGACCCTGATGACAGTCCTTCCTTCTGAGAACGAGTCCCTCCCTTGTCTTTCTGCTGTTCCTCCCACCTCTCCCTTGGAGCCTTCTCAGCACCCTTGCAGGCTTCCCTTCCCTCCCATCCTTAAATATCAGTGGCCCCAGGGGTCTGTCACTGCCCTCCTCCCACTGGGATCCTGCCCACCACTGGCTCCAGTTACCCCCTGCAGGCTGTTGTCTGCTCCTCAATCTCTCCCAAGGACCTGCCTGTTGCAGGGTGTGGCCCAGGAGAGGCACATGCCCCCAGACAAACTCACCATCCCTGCCTTCTCCCCACTCAAAGCCCCATCTCCCACCCAGTTGCCCGAGACAGGAAAGTGGGTGCCCTCCTTGACTCCGCTCTCCCTTCACCCTCTCACCTCCAATCAAGCACCAAGACTTGTCGATCCTGCTTTCTGGACAGTTCTTAGACCCATCCTCCCCTCTCTCGCCACTGTCCTGGTTCCGCCACCTGTTCCTGGACTGTCTCACAGCTGCGGCTTCCGAGCATCCCTCCAGCCTGCTCTCTTCATTGGAACCACAGACACACTTTGCTGAAGCCCAGACTTGAGCAGGTCCCTGAAAACCCTGCAGGGCTCTCTTCCTGGCCCCTGCTTCTCCTCCCCCGCCTTCCACCATTCTGAGTTACTCACAGTGCAGCAAGCAGGTTCCACTCTCACATCTGGCCTGCCCGTGCTGTTCCCTCCGCCTCCACCCTCTTCCACATCCCTTCACCAACATAACTCTGACTCACTCTTCAGTCTCAGCTCAGAGGCTGCCTCTTCCGCGAAGCCTCTCTAGATTTTGTAACAAGGGCTCTGAGGCCCCTCCAAGCCACTACTGCAGCACCCTGTGCTTACCACAGCACACAGGCCACCCGACAAAAGAAGCCCCCTAACTCCTCTGCACCCACCCCCGACCATGAGCGCCATGAAGGGGAGGCTGCACCAGCCTGTCCCCAACAGTTCTCACAATACCTAGCAAATGGGCCACTCTTCATAACCATTTCCTGAGTTAATAAATGAATTATCTGACCAAGGGGGCCAACCCTCCTAAAATATATGCAAATCTCCACACTCCAGTCCGGAAGGTGAAGGGAAGGGGCTAGGGTGTTGGGGGAAGGGCTCACAGGTTCTGCGTGGAAAACTAGAGGTAGGTTTTCCAAGGGGTGGGGGACCCTCTGCCCACACACTGCTCTGTGCCCCCAAAACATCTCCAACTAAGGTAGGGTAGTAGTGATGGTCATGTGGCCCGGGCCAGCCATGGGGTCTGGAAGCCACATGAAGGACAGGCCTCCTGGGAACAGGGAAGGGGAGCAGGAAGGGCAGGGGGGACAGCCCTGAGGCAGGACAGCAGGGGGTGGCAGGGGTCGGCTTCTCCAGGCAGTGGGGCTCTGTGCACATGGCCTGCCCCTGCTCCCTCCTGATTCTCACTTCTCCATCTGCCTGGTCACCACTCCTACCATGCTTGCCTGAACCACAGGCCCTCCCCACCACTGCTCACCTCCCCTTCCTCCAGCCTG